TTATACTGATTTGAGCCCTGTGTGTGAATATCATGTATGCACATGTGGTACAGGTCTAGAACAGAAGTAGTGCTTTTCTTTTTTTCTGATGATCTTCAGCTTTATATGCTAATGGACTATTTAAAAATACATACAAAAAAAAGGGGACACTATCTTTGTATTTTTATATGAATTTTGGAAAAGGAAAGAAAATAAATTGTAGGAATGTTTTTCACAGTCCATCCATCTTTTTGTGCACATTCTGCTATACATGAAAAGCAGCACTCCATATCTGAGGAAGAAACTCCCTTTTCGCATTACTTCCCTTGGAGCAACCTTTCGTGGCATGCTGTGAACTAAAACTAGAGTTTCATGGAAATTTGTGTGCATGCCTGATTTGGGTCCCTCTGTATTTACATATTATGGTGATTATAATTTCCTCCCAGTTTCCACAGTTAAAGCACAATTCTGAATCAAAGCTTTTCTGCTATAAAGAAGGTAAACAAGTCCATTATAGACTGAAAATTTCAAAATGGAAAAAAAACTTGTTATTTAACATTTTTTGGACACTTGACCAGCTGTATTGAAATTTTACAGGAAATTTTGTCGTTATTCTTCAAATAGAAGCTAGAGCTTTACGAATACAAAACCAGTCTAAAGGTAATGCAGGGAGAAAAATTGGGAATTAAAATGTCAGATGCATTTAGCAGTCTCTCCATAAGAAGTCCATTCTCTGATTAAATTCTGAGCAGTCAAAGCTTTGTGTGTTCAACATGCTTTTAGGCCAGATTTATGACACTGTGAGAAAAGGACCTGCTTGAGAGCCAAACCTAGGATAGTTTTGTTAGCTATATTTTAATTAGTATTTCTTACTTGAAAGCCCTAAGATACTGCTAAGTGCTTAAATATTCTTAAGTCACTCTATATCTGTAAAACTGAGGCACTGAAGAGAAAAACTAGGAACCTTTAATGGTCGTTAAAACATTATCTAAATCACCAAGCTCTTAACTGAGTGTGAAATATATTAGAGATGCTTGAAGTCTGATGCTGATATTTTAATAACAAAAGTGAGTGGCAATAACCGTTTCAAGAGAGCTCTGGAGCACCGAGCAATCTGCAGTCGCTTTGCTGGTGCGTGGGGTTAGCTGACCTGCAGCGGAGTTAGGACTTGCTCATTTTCTCTTGATTGCTCAGTATTTAGACCCTGGTTTTGGTTTTCTCGGTGATCTTTAATGGTCGATCAAAGGGCGAGAAATGTGGGTTGTGATGTTGAACTGGCTACATACGAATAAAGTCTTCTTTGATGGATGCCAGATAAAATCTCATTATGTGGTGGCTCCTCAATCCCGTTTACTTCATTGAAGTGAACGGTGGATATTGCAACGCTGGAAGTTTTTGAACAAAATTGACAGAATATCATCAAAAAAAAAACCTAACAAGACTTAAAGTTGAGCAAAATCAGTAAGGTATTTTTCCATTTCGTTTATGAAAAGAAAAATGAGTAGATGACATTTTTTAACATCTGTATCATTAAAATGTGGTTTTACTTTTTGCTTAGTTTTTCTTGTATATACTCTACACTTAAATTCTTATATTTCTATCTGTGAGAAGAAAAAAGAAAACAGGTTTTCTAATGGTATTTTTTTTCCACCTCTTCTGTAAAAAAAAATTATTTTTACATGTATACATCTTTGCTATTTCCATACTGCTGTACTTGTAAATAAGTTATGATCACCAAAAGAATATTTCCAATGCTAATAAAATTAGAAATACCTTTGCTGTCAGATATAAATTATTCTTTGTTTTCCATGTCATCTGCTCTTAAGCAGAGAAACTTCTGTCTTTTAAATCCATATAATAGCTAACAAAACTCCCTATATGTAAATTCTTTTTCTTTGAAATATTTTCATCCACTGTTTAATTTTTTATTTTTTTTCTAATTTTTGAAGTCCAGTTATTTTGGGGTTTGAGGTGTTACTGGGTTTTGGGAGGGTTTTTGTGTTTTTTTTTGTTAGGGTTTGTTTTTTTTTTTTCTGAGCAGCTGAACTCAGTATACATATATCTATATGTGATACTCCATAGCAGCTGATTTGCTACAATATGTGTAGTAAAGACTACCTTTCCACTATACGCTACTGCTGCCTAATGTAACAAGGCTCTGAGATATCCAGAGCTCACAGACGTGATGGCAATAAAGCATAATAGTATTAATAATAACTTACAAGAGAAAAGTAACAGTGGATCATATAAAATTGTCATAAAATCACTAGTCTCAAATAACAGTGCCAACTGCTCTAAAATACTACTCAAAGCTTTTCTAAACACACATTTACTGCTTTTACTAATCATATAAGAATAGAGACTCATTAATCTGCTGAAAACCAGTGATGGAGTGGGCAAAGGCAAAGGGCAAAGGCAAGGTTGCACCAGCCCTGTAATGAAATTATACTGCTGCTTCAGGTGGGAAGGAGCATATAGTCAGTAATGTAGTAAGCACATAACGTAACGTGGTATTAAAAAAGTCACAAAGACAGGGGATCTATTTTCAGCATCAGATGTTTGCCACGGTTCCTTGCCATATTTTTCTTGCTACACCGCAGATACCTTCCCCTTTTTTCTTCTTCTTCACAGAGATGATTTTCAGCATTTTCTTGATAATGTGCTTTCTGATTTTCTTAATGAGAACTTCCATGTTCTTTGAAATTTTCCTCAGACTTGCAAGACTTGGGTTGTATTTAGTTCTATTTTCTTCCCTTTGTGTTTCAAATACTTCTGTATTCTGTCAAGTACCTGGGTATCAATTTCTCAGTAGTCTCTGGTTTATGGCCATCAGATGATTAATGACTGTTTTGGCAAACCATTGAGGTTCTTTAAGCATAGAGACCACCTATTGTCCAAATTAATGGCCACCTATGTACGTGCAACTGTTGGACAAGTATTTATTGAAACGGTTTAGATTTAGGCTTTAATTCCTTAAGGAAAAAAAAAAAAAAAAAAAAAAGGAAAAGCTATTGACTGAACAGACAAGGACTAATCTTAAAAATCTTACTTGTTTTGCTAAACTAATGTCCTCTAAGGTCTGATTTCAAAGCCTTTATTTTTGGTGATGCTAAAACCAAAACAGAAGAGAGACTTACTGGCTTGATCCGAATCTCTTAGAGTAGAGCATTGATACATTGTATAGCATTCTCCTGTGAATCAGGGTAGAACAAATCTTTTGTGGATTATAATCTAATTCCAATATTTTATTCCTATAACATGACTAGTAGGCTGAATTACTTTTGCTTCCTTATGTTGTAGTTTATGATTTATTTCAATTTCAACTTTGGGGAATAAAAGAATTTCTCACTGGTGCTGCTTGTGTATAAATCTTTACAACCCAGAAGTTGTAATTGATACAGCTAGTGTTCATATTCATTCATATTCATTTTTGCAAACAACAGGCGGGATATCAGACAGCATGTGCTAAACTCGTACAGAGGAGGGGATTAAGTGATTACTGGGCTTTGGAAAATTGGACATGTACGGTTTAAAGGATCACTAGTATTTAAGGGAATGTGTTTTGACTGCAGAATGCTTTGCTTCCAACTCTTCCTGCTGAGTCTCCTGTAAAATTCAAATACAGGAGCAATAAAGTGTATGGCAATAAAAACACTTCATACTTGCCCCTTTCTGTACAGTGGACATGGATCACCTTGACTGGACAATTGATTGCAGTGAACACAAGCCGATCTGTAAAGCCCAAGAAAATAATTCAAAACAGTTATTCAGTTATTCATGCTGTCTAGCAATTCCAAACTTGATTTCAGTAACACTACTATATGCAACTGCTAATTAATGTTCTGAGAATCAAAAGAGGTATGCTTGTACCATAAAGACACCACAGAGAGTCCTTTAAATCAGTTTATTAGAATCTCCACAGAAATTAATGTGAAACATTTTGGTGTGAAATATAGCTAAAACAATATTCTATTGAATATTGTCAAATCAACCTTCTGTTGCAGCAGTTTGATCACTGATATTAGAACTGCAAGACATGTAGAAGGCTCTTGGAACACATCAGGCTTTGCTGACTTGCCTTTTTTTTTTTTTTTTTCTCTTTTCTCCCAGTTACCTGTCTCTGCTTTGTACACTGCTTCTGTCATCTCCATTTGTGGAACTTCTTAAATGACTATTGCAGCTATGCTTGTACTGGACACATCTTCCCCAAATCCTCTTTGCACGTGAATCTCCAAAGGTAGACCTTTTCCCTCAAAGCCAGTTGTTTGTAAACAGATTCTGAATGCTACAAAAGTATCAGCTATTAACAAATAATTGCCACGTAGTTTGCATAACCAAAACTGAGGTTGAAGTACACTGCATATTATATGCATATAATTATATGCATATAATACAACATAATACAATTATATGCATATAATACAATATGCATATTAAGCCTTACTTAGGTCACGTAAGATGTTGAAAATGCTTTGCTGACTTATCTAATTTTTTTCAATACAAGCAGAAACTCTTCTCTGCAATTATTCATAATTGAATGGCTAAATAAAACACTTGATAGTGTTTGCTTACTACTTTACACATAAATACAGAAAGCCAATGTTATTTAGAATGCAAATCAAATACTCAGAAGCTAGAAACTTCCATAACTATTACTTTATCCCTTTCTCCATTTGCAGTCTGATGGTACACTCAACCTCATAATCATACATTACTTTTGCATAAGACATGTGCCTCTCATTGCTCAGGGAGATCCGTGCTGTTAGCCATTTTATGACAGAACATATTCAAGAGATTTAATGATATGTAATCCCCAATAAATGTGTAATTTTACATTGACTATACTATTGTAATGTATGATACACAGATTTCAAAGGCATCCTTGGTCTTAACAATTCTTACTGGTTTAGAGTTTTACATTGTAACTTTAATAACTTTTAGAAATATATTTGATGGGTTTCTTATAACTTTTTCAGGAACAAACTGAAAAAACAGCACCGCACCAGAGTGCCCCTTGGGGACACCCTCTCTGAAGGAACCAGGCTCAAATTGGAGACCCTCAGGATCCCAGCACTGCACACAGTGAGGACCTTTGGCTCTCCCTTACAGGCCTGTGCGATCTGCATTGCTGAGATGTTGCGGTGTTGGGGATTACTCTGTACCTGCAGCAGTTCCAGAGGGACTGAGGACACTTTATACTTTGGTTTCACAGATAATTGCTGAGTCAGAGGGTGGAAACTGGGTTAAATTACAAGCTGTGAAGGGAATTTATACAATGAAAAGAGAATGCTCTGCCCGTGTCCTTCAAGCTTTAGATTTCTTCTGCACCATCTTTCCATTCTGTCTCACAATGAATCCTATTTGGCAGACGTCTCATACTAGTCCCTTTTTCCTCATGAGGAGTATGCAGGCCAGCCCTGCTAAGGATTTTTTAATGACACTTCTACTCTTTCTGTCTTTTAAACTGTAGCCTTCAGATAGTCATCTGAGCTTTTTGTCCAGTCTGTATATTTGCTCTTTGTTCTGTCCTAACACAGATATGTTGGCATTCAAGGAGATGGAAGAAGAATGGCTGTGACAGAAATTACAAGCTTCTTTCAAGTTGTTGTTCAACAAGGTAAGAATAAGAAGGCATTTAATTATAAAGTCAGCATTTTTTTTTAATCTTTGGGATGTGGGGGTGGACACAAGCATTATTTTCCCTCATCTGTGTTTTAAATGCCTGAGTAGTTTTGCTTGAGTTTTAAAAAGTCAGTCTGGAACAGATTTATGACTTGGGAAAGCTTTATGCAAAATCCATGCATTTTTGAGAAATCTTGAATTCCTCAAACAAACAAATGGTCTCTAAAAAGTACAAAAATTGAAGAATTTTAGTATTAGAGGGTGCTGTTACCTGACCTTGCTTACAGTGCTTTAGTAAGAGCTGGAATTCAGGTTGATGGAATACTCTTATTTATAGATTTGTCACCTATTATAATACATGTCATTTAATGTGCTTATTATTTGTTATGCTAAAATTAACACTAATTATACAGTAGTGTTCATGCAAAACTTGTTTCCGTGATGTTATGGAATTTCTTGTGATGTGCAGTTCTGTTGATAGCCCCTGCCCATATTAGATGTCGTACACTACTGCAGTCCTCGGGTCTATCTTCATTTCCAGTGTGTGGCCCAGTCATGGTCTGTGACGTGCCGGGAGGTGTATGTGGTGTTTCAGGGGACGTGATGGGAAAGGGCCACCGCACCGTGCCAGAGCTGGGACGCTTGCTGCCACACACACTCTCTGAGGAAGCAAACTCACTAGAGGTGGCACCTTCTCCTGGCTCACATCTGGCCACATCTACATGTAACTAGTTTGTCAATCACTGGGGTTATGTAATGAACCCAGGTTGAAAAAAGCAGATGATTTGTAGTTAAAATAATAACAAAAGGAGTCTTCCTAGCAAAAAAACCCAAAATGACCTGTGAGCGTTTACAGAAAATGAAGCTTTATAGATATAATTACTAGTATTTCATTTACTTGAAGAGAGATCATTACCTTATTACACAGTTATTTTGAAAGACTGTCTTACAAGCTTCTTTAGATACGCTTTCAGTTCTTACATACAGAGTTTAATTTACTAATAACATTTTTGGCTTTAGTCTAATGTTATTTTACTTAAAAATAGATATCCTTATACAGTGCAAAAAGATATTTTTTTCCTGAATGCTTAGGTAGAATTTCCAAATGTGAAGATGTACATTATCATGTTAAAATCTGCAACGTTTAAAAAAAAAAAAAAAAAATGTTTAGCATTGACAATTACAGGACAAAAAGTCACGACAAAGAGAGAAATGCACCAAGGAAGGTCTGGGATAAATAACCTGTGGCATAATTTCATATAATTTGATCTATTTTATTTTTCCATGATTAACTGAGTTAGAAGCAATGAGCTTGAATTTCAGAAAAAAATCGCACATTTCAAGTTATTTATTAGAAACTATTTGTAGCAGAAAGCATGAAAATAGGTTGCCTGGAAAACCTATAAAATCTCTAATATTGGAGGTATTTAAGAATGCATTAGACACAGATGTGTCAAGATGACTTAAATAAATCTAGGCACCTGGCAAGGGGATAGAATAAATAACCCTTGTTTTTTTTGACTGGAAACTATGAAGACACTGAAGAAGTAAAATTAAGTTATATGCAATATTTTTAGTTTACACAACAGGTGATTGGGAATTTTTGTGCCGTTCCAAGGAGGTTTTTATTGAGCTGATTTCTCAATAATACTGCAAGCTTACAGGTTAATTTGGGGGGACTCTGTGATGAACAAGAATCGAGATAAATGGAAAAATGTTAATGAAACACAGGCTTTTTCTTTTCAAAATCAACACCCACTTCTTACTCAACTTAACTCTGCTAAACTCCATTGAAAATCTCCGTTTCTGGCACTGTTTCATATCTGGCTTATGTAACCTGTCTGACTGCAGGGAAAGAAAAAATAGTATTACAGAATGGGTTTTCTTTTCTACTAATCTACACTTTAAAGTGTAATTAATTTGTTAAGAAGGAGTTAGGGTGATTGGTGGACTTCTGCTCTGTTAAATACCATCTTTGTGGTACCTATCCTATAAACATCTATCATCTGCTGAAATCACAGTCCTTGACCACAGTAGTTTGAAAACTGAGGAAGGATAGAAATGGCCTGAGAATGGTTAAAGACTTTTTACAGTTGAGAATTTCAAAAGTGCCTTAAGGGACATAGGCATCCATTTCTGTTCAAATACTGTCTATAGATGCACGTGCCTAATGTCTTTTGGCAGATACACCCTAGGGGTTTAGGAGTGCTCAGTAGTGGAGAGGAAAAGGAAGGTGTCCTATCCTCATACAGTTGGTGTAGTTTAAATATTCCAAAAGCAAGTTAAACTGTCATTCTCTTTCCTGGACGGGGTCACAGTGCAGTTCATATTCACAGGCTGCCCTCAGTCACATCTTCTCCTTATCACATTCTCTGTGACAATGCCTCATAATGCCTTAAAACATAAAGCTCCATCCCAGCAGTACTGAGAGATTTAAGTTTATTAAAAGCACGTGTTCATAACTCTGTATCGGAATATATTTTTTCCTTAGGGACAGCAATGAAAGGGCTGCGAAATAAATGTGAATGTAACTTATTAGCCTCATGATAGCAATCCATTTTCTTACCTTACTGTCTCCCTAGGAACTATTTGTGGTTTTGTCCCCAAAATGTGTGCTTTAAATAACTCTAAGAATGTTATTTCAGTTTTAAAGACAAAGTGCTCCTGATGTCCACCTAAGAAAAGTAGAATATCTAATGCATATTATTTGAAATATAAGTATTACCATTTATCAATGCTCATGCCTCAAACCAATTAATACGGAGTTTCTGGTATGGGTTTCTTGAAAACAAGCTGCTACTAACTGGAAAGGATCTGGTAGTTAATTTTTCCCTCATGACTGGAACATTTTCCATACCAATAATATGGTAAAGAAACCGCTATATAACTGAAATATGTGGTGTTTGGAGACTGCTAATTACAATTCCACTGGTTGCAGCAACCTCAGAAGTTGCTGTTTCAATGTTCTGCTGAGATTATCATCAGCATTTCAGCTCTTTGAAGATAAATCCGTAGACAATACGGCCACGTCCACAGCTTTTTATTCTTAAATTTGGGAAAGACCTTTATGACATTAGTGAAAGTGGTGTTTGTTCACGAAAATGTTTGTCAGGACCATTACATTTTGCTCATGAGAATTTCAGGGACCTTCTTTACCTGGAAAGGAACTTCCCTGCTCTATACCCCTCCTTTTTGCATAATGTCCCTGAAAGATCTCTGAAGGCAATGTCACCTGCCTAAGAGTGTGGTTTTGTGGCAATTTTGGCCTGTAGATTCACCTTAAGACACCTTTTTCTGTGTGCATTAGGCAAAATTTGTGTCTGTTGCAAAGGCAGCAGTAATGACGTGACTATTAAGCAAGGCTAAATGAGCCCTGCTGTGTGCAGTGGCTTTCATTACGTGATCACGTAGCTGGTGGTCACAATTCAGATGTGGAGCATTTTAATGGAAAGATATGTGGTCTATCTAGAGGACTGTTTTTTTTCTACCACCTGTATTTCTATTACAGACAAATGAAAGGCAGTTTTTACTTCAATACAAATTAAATTAGTTGTTACAGTATTGATTTCGGCTGGGCTAGTAGTAACAAGCAATTACAATAAGTGGGAATTTAAAATGTGTACTACTGGCCATTTTAATTCACAAATGGTCTGGTTAAGAATTTCTTACACAGAAAAAGCTCCTGTTAGGCTTCAGAGGAAACTACTCTTGAGGAGCAGCACTTCAGCATGTAGCCAGAAGAGATGAAGCTTGGCAAACATATTTATATCCTGTGTTTTGGAGAAACAACAAATCTAAATGGAGATGTTTTGGGCAGGAGGTTATATGGCATATCAGTGCAATGTCTACAGATACTTTAAAAACATCAGCATTGAGCTGACAGGAGAAATTACAGAACCTGATTTGAGGAGGTATAAGTAATAGTAATGGGAAGAAGTTAATTACAGTATAGTAGACTCTTGAGTAGGGAGAGTTGCTTGCATTGAGACTGGGACACAGCAAAAGGTTTTTCAGCCTGGTGGTTAGCACACTTACTGCATGGTCATAGTGAACATTTAAATTCCTGTAAACAAAGCACAAAGCAGAAAAGAAAAAAAAAAATATGGTATAAAGGTTGCGATAGAGTTCATGCCAGAACTTCTACACAACCCATCTTCCCCCTGTATTCCAGAGCCCTGTCACCTCACTGTTTCTTGCAAGACCCCAATCTCACATCCTCTACTGTCAGTTTACCCAGTTGTTCAGTTGAGCTGGTATTTCTGCTGTCAGTTATCCTGGGTAAAACAGCAAGAGTTGGTTGCAAAAATATTAATGAGGTATGGTTTCTGGCTGCAAAGGAAAAGGCATGAACTGCCATCTTGGTGACAAGGTAGGCACCATGCAGAGTTAGTTTGTATACATTTTGAAAAAAAGAACATTTAGCGTGTTAAAAAACCTGAAAATATTGGAAAAGGGTGAGGAAAGAGTTCTACAATAGCATCTCAACAGGTGTAAATATATATATAGTTTTGTTAAAGATAAAAGACATGTTATTTTATTCCAGCTAAGGACCTAACCCGGTCTCTGGAGCTGTTCCCTGACATCGGTGTCTACTTCATTTCAAGGGTGTAAAAATCTGTTTAGATCTCTAGGAGAGATGCAGAGCTATAAAGCAGTAGTAAAGGATGAGTAAGAGGTGACTAGTAAAATAAACCATGGACATGAAGGGTTTTCTAAATTATATTTGTACAAGTTATACTTGTGTAAATGCTTCAGCATGTTGCAGGTTTTGGGTCTGCCTCTTCACATTGTTAACCGCACATGGACGCCGCAGCCTGAGCCATGCTCAAAAGCCTGCCCTTCTCATCATGTCTGTTCTCTGCCCTGGGGTGACATTCCTGGGGCTGGCACTGAAGGACAAGCAGGCTGTTTCGCACTGCAGCAAAACAGACTCCCCTCTATTTGGGGATTTTGCAAACCGTTTTCAAGATTTTCATTTCATGGTGTTGAAAATAT